TTTTTTCTAGACGTTGATGGCTGCTTCCTTCCGTTTCTTTTCCCTAATAAAGTCTCTGAAATCATTCATTTACTTATTATTCGCAGTAATTTCACTCTTTATATTTTGTTCTTTCATCTTCCATGGTAACTCCTTCTACATGCCTTTTAAGATTCTTTCCAGCACTCTATATAAGTGCACAATAAGGTATCTTTGTCCCATCATCCTTGTATTCTTTCTGATACAGTTTTCTTTGCAGGTTTTTTAGTTGCCGCATCACAAAATTGGTAATAATTCTACACTTGTTTCATTACTTTTAAGCTTTATTAAGATATTCATATATGTTGCCAGCTGACGTTGCTTGATTTTCCAATTAAACCTCAAGAATCAGTAGCTTCTTTGAACATTACTCTTGTCTTGCAACTAGATATTGCATTTCATGATTCATCTTCTAAAGGATATATATTAGATAGGTAAAAAACATCTCTACATTACAACTATATATTTTGTTTGCATCTATTCTCCTAGCTACTACAGAATAACTTACAATTGCAAACGAACAAGAGCTAGGAAAGATATGCATACCTATTAGCAAGTTGAAGAAATATGCTACAGAATGGGTATTTAAAGTTTTAGTCATTCGACGAGGCTTAATAAAGGAATACAAAGATGGCGAAGGTGTACATTGGCAGCTAATATTTGTTGATGAAGAGGTAACTTTATTTTAATAGTTTCTTATATTCAATTCTCAATACACTGCCTCCTTTAGTGACTTTATTGTTTGTCTATATTGACACAGGGAACAAAAATACAAACTACTCTTTCCAACAACGACCTTCAAATATGGAAGAATTTTTTCGATTAAAATAATAGCTACTACATTATAAAAAAAAAAGATAAGCGGCACAAAACCAAATTTCTTATCTGTACACAAGGCCCTCAAAGTAGCATTTAATAGCAACACAGAAGTAATGCAGTGCAACACTGAATTTATGTATCAACAATTCTCCAATGGTTTTATTTCTTTGGATTAGTCAGAATAGTTACTAATAAGATTTTATTTGGTGAATACTTACATATATTTATTGAGTATTTTGCAGCTGCAATTATTCGATATTTAATATTTTATATTTTTTTAGATGTTGTTTGTATTGTAATAAAAGTAAAAGCACTAAATGGATAAGGATAAAGCAGAAGGCGAGAAGTAATAGTTACGAACGAAAAGCAAGTTACCACCCGTTACTCGCCACTCATGATTTACACTTTACTACCTACAATATAAGTAGAATATAATTTTTAAGATACTCAATTTTAAATATGTAGGTATGATCGAAAAACTTTGACTTTGTGGGGAGACTTAGCTGAAATTGAGGGGGAATTGTTAGAGAGCATTGAAAATTCCAAGCCAGTAATAGCCTTCTGTGATGTTAAAAGCCTACTTACCCAGGTATAATATCTCATACCTTATGTATTTTCATAATATTTTAGAAGGTAACACTTTCGCTGATTCTTTTTAAATAGGGGATTTTGTCCTTTTGACGACACATGTTAGTAGCGTGCTAGTGTACCCAACATTTGAGAAAGCGAAAGATCTCAGCAAATGGTAAATTGTCAATTTCTCTTTCAACTTATATTCTTTCCATATGTTAGGTATTTGAAACATTCTAAATGAAGTTTTAAAATACTGGAATGATAATATGAAGGCAAGCAAGATAGACATAAGTTTAATGCCAAGTAGATTAATGCAAATAGCTAGAGAAGTCAAAATCACAATGAAGAATAGCAACATATGACAAGAAGATGAAGAAGTAAAATCGGGAAAAGTGGCAAAAGGAACAAAAACAAGACTCAACATTTAATGAAAAGGAGCCAAAAAGAGGATATCACCTCTAATTATTCCAATGATTAGTGCTCTTTTCTGGAATATTAGGAAAAAGTCATTCACAGGCTAAAGAATTGATTAATCTTAACAAAACTCAATTTGTGGCCATCTTTGAACCCTTTAGTGCTAAGGAAAAAGTAGATGGCTACAGAAAATTCCTTGGCTTTCAACATTGTTTTTTTAATAACATTGGTCAAATTTGGTATTTTTGCAATGCTTACAGCCCCACTAATATCATTACAGCTAGTGACCAACATATTACTATCAAGACGTACAAAGCAATTATAAAGCAAGACATTTGAATTACTGAAGTTTATATTAAATGCAAATCTTATGATAGAAAAGAGCTTTGGTATGTTCTTGAACAGAACAATCTGGTTGTGGATGTCCCCTGGTGCATTGGGGGAATTTTAATGTAATCTTGGATCCTAATGAAAAACTAGGGGGTAAGCCACACAGAATGCATAAAAGTTTGGATTTTCAAACATGTATGGACAACTGTGGGGTTACTAATATTGGGTATAATGGTTCTGACTATACTTGGTGTAATAACAGAAGGCCTGGTAAGAGAATATTGAAAATGTTGGACACATTTTTTGTTAATAATTTGTGGGATCAGCTCTTTCAAAGGTGCTCCATTAGGCACCTAGCTAGGAATGGTTCTGATCATAGGCCTCTTCTAATGAAGAATTTGAATGGAAGCCTATATTATATTAAGTATTTCAGATATCTGAATTGCTGGGTGAACCAAGATAGTTTCTTTGACATTGTCAATGAAGGTTGGGATATAAATGTATGGGGTATCATATGGCTTAGTCTTCAAGACTCATTACTCACCCAAAAATCTCAGGCTAAATGGTTTGAATAAGGGGATAACGATACTAGTTACTTCCATTCTATCCTTAGAGAAAGAAGAAGAAGAAGAAGAAGAAGAAGAAGAAGAAGAAGAAGAAGAAGAAGAAGAAGAAGAAGAAGAAGAAGAAGAAGAAGAAAGCAACAAATTAATAGAATCAAAAACTGAAATGGTGATCTGATCAAGGGGGATGAGAAGATTGCTAAGAAAGCTGTTAAATATTTTCAATCTCTTTTCAACCTTACTCCTCCGACTATCAACATTTTTATACTAGATTGCATCCCATCTTGCATCTCTAGGGAAGACAATGATATGCTGAACAAGATTCCAATTGAAAAAGAAATCAAAGATTTTATTTTTAGCCTGAGCCCTCACAGCACTGCAGGTCCAGATGGCTTCAATGGTACCTTCTTTCAGAGTTGCTGGGACATCATCCAAAAGGAGGTAACTGCCTTTGTGATAGAATTCTTTACAGGAAAAGGTTTGACTAAATTATACTCTCATACATGTTTGGTTTTAATTCTTAAAATTGATAATCCTGCTACTTTTGCTGATTTTAGACCAATCAGCCTCTCAAACTTTACTAAAAAGATTATTTATAAAATCATTTCTATTGGAGTTAATACTCTTTTCCACAAATTAGTATCTTTGATTCAAAATGGTTTTGTAAAAGATAGGTTGATATCAGAGAATGTATTGCTTGCTCAGGAGATCATTCACAATATTCCTCAAATTAACAAAGATGGTAATGTGGTTATTAAGCTTGATATGGCTAAAACATATGATAGCATGTCCTGGGATTTTATTTATGATGTTTTAAGAAAGTTTGAATTCTCTGATAGTTGGATTTTAATAATCCATAATCTATTCTCTAATGTGTGGTATTCTATCATTGTGAATGATACTAGACAGGGCTTCTTCTCATCTTCTCGAGAGCTTAAACAAGGAGATCCATTATCTCCATCTCTATTCATAATAGTTGTTGAGGTCTTGTCTAGATCTCTTAACTGTTTATATAGAAACCCTAATTTCATCCCTTTCTCTAATCATGCTAATGTTCCTAAGATTAACCACTTAGCCTATGCTTATGATATTATTATTTTCTGTAGTAGTGACTCTATCTCTGTTAAATTGATCATGAACACTATCTCTAAGTATGAAAGGAGTTCTGCTCAACTTGTTAATGGAGATAAAATTTATTTCTTAACTGCTCCTAATACTGCTGCTATCAGAATCAACATGATTAGAAATTGTTTAGGTTTTATGGATAAGACTTTCACTTTTAGCTATCTAGGTTGCCCTCTTTATGTGAGAAGGAAGAAAATTGATTATTTTGACAGCATGCTTAGTAATATTGTTAAAAGACTTAATGGCTGGCAGGGTAAGTTTCTTTCTCATGGCAGTAAAGCTATTTTGATTAAAAGTGTGATTTAATCCATATCTATTTATACTCTATATGCTATGTCCTCCCCCCCCCCTAAAAGGTGTGTTTAGATTAATTGAAAAGCATTTTGCCAACTTTTTCTGGGGTAACTTTGTTGATCATAAAAAATACCATTGGAGTTCCTGGAAAAATCTTGCTCTTTCTACTGAGGAAGAGGGCGTTGGAGTCAGGAGAATGGAGGATATTAGTGACATGTTAGATATGAAAAGGTGATGATAGATTAGGTCCACACCATCTCTTTGGGCTACCTTCATCAAAAACAAATACTGTGTAAGGGCCCATTTAGCCTCAAAGAAACTGGCTCCAGGTAACTCTCATACTTGGAATCATGTTCTCAAGGTGAGGGATATTGCATTAAAGCATATGGTTTGGTAGGTAAACTTTGGGTATAGTAGTTTCTGGTGGGACAATTGGTCATTAAAGGGTCAATTGGCAGCTTTGATTCCTAATAGTTGTAAGAGTGCTAAGACCTTGGTTGGGGATTTCATAACAAATGGTCATTGGAACATTTGTAAGCTGAAGGACACTTTACCAAATCAATTGGTCCATCACATTAACTCCATTTTCATTAGCAATCATGACAATGAGGATCAAGTTTTCTGGGAACTTTCTGAAAATGACAAATACACTAACAAGAGCGCGTGGAATCTGGTAATGAATTCTAGACCAAAAGTGCAATACATCAACAAGGTATGGAACTCTAATATCCCTTTTAAAATATCTTTTTTAGTTTAGTTATTATGGAAAGGTAAACTCCCTTTTGATGAAGTGATTATAAATTTTGGCAACAAATTATTTCTAAATATAACTGTTGCCTAAACCCCTCTACAAATAGCATGAATCATGTATTTATAGAGGGACAAGCTGCTAGTTATATTTGAAAACTATTTAGAAATGCCCTCGGTACCCTTTATCACACTCACCCCATTACATGCATGCTTAACACCTGGTGGACTACTAAGCCCACCAATGATGTAATAGATTAGTGCTAAATATAACTCATATTATCATATACTGGTTCTTGTGGAAAGAATTATGTGTGTGCAAGTATAGTGATCAAAAAAAATTCAACATATATAGATTACATCATCAAATCTCTTGGAGTGTTGAGGCTGCAATCAATAAGGCTTACCCAATATGCAAACTCAGAATGCCATGGAGTAGTTTCTGTTTATTGAAAAGATTACAACCTGTCCACAAATGCATAGTGTTCCAATGGAGGAAACCGGATAGGGGCGAGGTTAAGATCAATACTGATGGGAGATATCTCTAAGGTGAAGGAAAGGCGGTCTAGGAGGAGCACTTAGAGATGAAAATGGTGACATTATCAAGGCCTTTTCAATACCCTTCAATGGCGAGAATCACAATCTTGCTGAAGTTCAGGCAGCGTGGACTGGTACCAATTGGTGTGTGTAGAATGGATTCACACAAGCCATCTTTGAGTTGGATTCTCTGTATATAGTAGATATTCTTCGTAAGGAGATAACAACTAACTATAAACTGAGTCAAATCGCTAACAAGATTAGAGGAATTCTAAACACATCCAAAATATAGATTAAGCATTGATATAGAGAGGCGAATCATCTTGCTGATTGTTTAGCTAAAATGGCAGCAAAAAATCAACATGTTGATTTTTTCTACTCCAACCAACAACTGCCTAGTGAAGTTAAGGGACCTCTTATGTTGGATAAAGAACAGATGCCTAGCATAAGGAACAAATACGATAAGGCCATTTTTTTGTTAGCTAGGTGTGTTTTGTAATTAGAGGCGGGTGAATTATTTACAATCGTGTTACAACCCATATCCACATGTGTTAGTTCATGCCATATATTAGTTAACATAAATCCAAGAAGGAATTATCTTTGAGATGATAAGAAGTCAATCCTATTGGTCTTAAGTGATACAAGAGTGTATAAGGGTGATTAACCAGTATTAGAAGTTAAACGAATCAAGGATGTTGTAACTCG